TTGAGCATCAACCTATGAACCAGGAAGTCACAGCTCAGTTCACAGTAATGGCATATGCCTGGGTTGCAGGCTCAATCCCCAGTATGTCTCATCATTGATTTTTCTATCTCTCTCTCCCTCTCCCTTCTCCTCTGAAATCAGTAAAAATTTTATTATATAGGACTAGAGGCCCAGTGCACAAAATTTGTGCACAGGAGGGGGTGTGTCTCCCTCATCTCAGCCTGCATTCTCTTCTATCTGGGATCCCTTGAGGGATGTCTGGCCCATTGGGATTGGGCCTAAATGGGCGGTCACAATCCAGGACTGCTGGCTCCCAACCACTTGCCTGCCTCTGCCTGATTGCCCCTATCCACTTCTGCCTGCCATTCTGATCACCCCTAACAACTCTTTGCCAGCCTGATTGACATCTAACTGCTCCCTGTCCAGCCCAATTGCCCCTAACTGCCCTCCTCTGCTTGCCCAGTCACCCCGAACTGCCCTCCCCTGCAGGCCTGGTCTCTCCCAATTGCCGTCCTCTGCTTGCCCAGTCACCCTTAACTGCCCTCCCTGTTGGCCCGATCACCCACAACTGCCCTCCCCTTCAGGCCTCACTTATAACAGGTAAGTCCTTTTACTTCACCATCTTTTTCTTTCAAAATATTGGATTTTGTTGATTTTAAAATTTTGTTCTACTGAGCCCAGCCATGGTGGTTCAGTGATGGACTGTCAACCTATGAACCAGGAATCCATGTTTGATTCCCAGACAGGACACATGCCCAGGTTGTGGGCTGAGTCCCCAGTGGAAGAAATGCAAGAAACAGCCAATCAATGATTCTCTCTCACCATTGATGTTTCTATCTCTCTTTTCCTCTTCCTCTCCTTTCCTCTCTGAAATCAATAAAAATATATTTTAAACAATTTGTTCTACTGAGATATAATTTACCTAGCTGAAATGCACAGTTTTGACAGTTGCATATACCCAGGTAACCAACACTTTGATCAGCATATAGAACATTTCCACCACCTCAGAAAAATGTCTTATGTCCCTTCCCAGTCAATCTCACCCTCTATCTTGATTTCTATCACCATAAGTTGGTTGTCCCTTTCTAGCACTTATAACTGCTGTTATTCAGTACATAATTTTTTGTGTCTGGCTTTCTCAGTATATTTTTTAAGAATCGCAGTGCTGTGTGTGTGTAGGGGAGAGGGTAGTACAACATACTCCCCCCCCCCCTTTTTTTTAATTGCTGAGCAATTACAAATACACTGCAGTTTCACCCCCACCCCCTTTTGTTGAAGGAGACCTGGACTGTTTCCAGTCTGGGCATTAAACAAAAAGTTGGTCCCAATTCTGGCGTCATTTTGTCCAAATAAAAAGAAGTTTTGGAATTTGGATTTTGTTACTTTTCAGTCTGCCTCCCACTAATATTTACATTTTTTCCCCCCAGAGGCCTCCCTCCCTTGCTCTTTTCTTCAGGAAAATCATAGTATATGCATGCAACTGCAGAGGAATTCAGGTGGGTAATATTGAAGATGGACACGTTTCATCACACAAGCATAAAGGCTGAATACAGAAAACAAGTTAATATCTTGGCCAGTCTCACAATCTAATTTTGGAAAGGGCAGGCAAAGCTGCAAGGGGTGAAAAAAGAGGGGCAGGGCTTAGGGCATTATCAGGGCCCCAATGATAATTATAATTACACTTGTTCTTATTGACCTTAACATTAGACATTGTGCTAATGATTTCATTTAATCCTTATGCTAGATGTGACACATTTATTATCCAACTTCAGGTAGAGCATATGGACATTCAAAGGGTACCTAAAAAAGTACATAAACATTATATATAGAGGACATTCAAAGGAGCATAAATCATAGGGATTTAAAGGAATTGAAGGGGTTAGTTTTTAAATGGCTAGTGGCACAACTAAATAGTATAAACAGCATTTTTACTTTCTCTTTTCATTTTGAAAACTCTTCTTAAGCCATAAGCCCTCTCTGTTCATGTTCACTGACTCTGGGTGGGTGTAGTGTGTGACATTTACCTCCCAGGAAACTATAAACCAGCTGGACAATGGTAGTTTTACAAATGGAGTAATTTAACACCACTCATCACAACAAAATAATAAGTACTTTGATATTGTGGATATACTGTTACCAAAAATTCTGGCCAAAATCCATGTACACCAAGAAAGAATTTCAGTGGAAAAGTGAGTGGTTTAAAAAATGATCTTTGGGAATTCAATAAAAAATTATTTTTTTCTTCTTAATGCTTTCCTTTCTTCCTTCCCCTCTCTATCCACCCCAAAGATTGTTTAGTATTCTTTTCCTTTACTGCTACTGATTATTATGTTATTGCCCTATTTAAAATAGGAAGGATAGCCCTGCTGGTGTTGCACAGTGGTTAGAGTGCCAGCCTGCACACTGAAGGGTCTCAGGTTTGATTCCTGGTCAAGATCATGTAGATTCGATCTTTGGCTTGTTGGAACATGTTTGGGAGGTAACCCACTGATGTGTCTCTCTCACATCAATGTTTCTCTCTCTCTCTCTCTCTCTCTCTCTCTCTCTCTCTCTCTCTCTCTCTCTCTCTCTCTCTTTCTCTCTCCCTCCCTCACTCCCTCCTTTCCACTTTCTCTAAAAATTAATGGAAAAAATATTGTGTGAGGATTAACAATAAACAAACAAACAAACAAATAAAAAGATAAACAGGAATAATGGAGAAGAACGTATTTTTTTTTTCTGGTAAGAAAGCCTTGAATACAATTTGGAGAAATTCATCCTTAAGGAGCACTGTATGAGCCTTGTGGCTTCACGTGTAAAATAGCATTATGAATAATATATCTTTTTATAGTTTGCTAGGGCTGCCATGACAAAATATTATAGACTTGTGGCTTAAACAGAAACTAATGTCTGCACTGTCTGGAGACTGAAGATCAAGGTGCTGGTAGGATTGGTCTCTTCGGAGGCCTCTTCTTGGCTTGCAAATGGCCTTCCTTCTGTGAACACGTGTCCTAATCCCTTGTTTAGGAACAGCAGTTATATTGAATTAAGGCCCACTCATATGACCTCATTTTACCTTAATTAGCTCTCTAAGGACCCTGTCTCCAAACACAGTCTCATTCTGAGGTCCTGGGGGTTTGGGACTTCCACATATTATATAAATTTGGGGGGGCACATAATTCAGCCTATAGCACTTGCTAACTGCATGACAGATCTAACAAATTAAGAGAATATTTAGGAAAAAGCTGTCAATGCAATTATAACAAGAGGGTGTCTGTTAGGGATGAAAATTAGTCATATCTCCAACTATTTTAAAATGATTTGTGAGCCGGGACTGGTTTGGCTCAGTGGATAGAGCGTCAGCCTGCGGACTGAAAGGTCCCGGGTTCGATTCCGGTCAAGGGCATGTACCTTGGTTGCGGGCACATCCCCAGTGGGGGGTGTGCAAGAGGCAGCTGGTCGATGTTTCTCTCTCATCGACGTTTCTAACTCTGTCCCTCTCAATTCCTCTCTGTGTAAAATCAATAAAATATTTTTTAAAAAATGATTTGTGAATTTAAGTTGCTTGTGAGGGAAGACATTATTGGCTACTATTTCAGAGAGCAAGGCCATGAAGAGAATCAGATGACATGTTGAAGTTCATATCTGCAAATAAGTACAGTAGTTAAAATGTTAAATATTCTCTAAATTAAAAAAAAGAGAAAAGTAATATAAAATTAAAGGTTAATTATAGAAGATATGAGGTGTGTGTTTTTAATTAAGCTTAAAATGACTTGTGAAGAACATGGCAAAAATAATATTAGGACAGAGTAGACTTGAAAGTTAGCATAGCTTCCTGGCATCACTTATTTCCAGAAAACAGAAAGGATCACAGAACAGGTAAGAAGACTCACAATGCTTTGGTCCCACTCTTGTAAGTACAGCATGGTGTGCGGCATTTGAGTGTGTGCAGCACACACGATAATCAGAAATAGGGAAACAGATTTGTTCATGATGATCAACTAAGGTGATTCACATGAAACTGACCTTTCAATAGATAAAATAAAACCGGAGAATTTAGCCTGTAGAAGAGGTAAAAGAGAGCCATGATGATGAAAGATTAGATGGACTTTTGTCTTAAAATTATTAAACAATTGTAATGTTTCAACCCCGTATCAATAATAATATCGTCACCCTTCTTTACCCAATTCATGTTCTCTTTATATCATTAGCTTCTTAGATTCTCCCAGCAAGTTCCTCAAACAGGTCGTCTGTTTTACCCAGGCCAGCGGTTAAAACGAGCTCTGTGCGTTCCACATACAGAGATTGCCTCAACCCTGGGACCCTGGCCAGTTCTAAGACCTTGACTCCAACACATTCCCCACCCCCCCCCTCCCACCCCCCATCTTTCCCGCAGCTTGGCCATCTACACCTACACATTTCACACATTGCATTTATTACGTCATCGTCACCCTCCAGGCTCTGGGAAGAGGAAAGGGCCTTTTTGACTGCAAATCCCAGATAAAGAGCAGCAGCCCAGCCCTTTGGCTACCAGGCGTGGGGCAGCGGAAACTCCCCCTTGCAGCTCAGGGTGGAGCTGCTGGGGTGGAGGCTGTGCCACATCGGAGACCTATTGTGTGTGTGTGTCTCCCCTCCGCCTCGCAAGATGTATACACTCAGCATCCAAACGAATGATTTAGGAAGCCCAGCAGCCAACCAGAGCGCAAGACGCACAGCTGCTGGCATCTTTGTTTTTAAGACCTGTCACAGCCAAGCTGGACCCAAACGAGGGAGTGCTACGGCCATTTGAGCCCAGACTTTCAGCCTGAGCACCCCACCTCGTCCTGCAGACCTCTCCTGCGGCGGGGCGGGCGCGGCCCCTTTAGGAGGCGGGAGAGAGCCCGGGCGCGGCCAATCCCGGCGCGCCCCGCCGCCCCGCCCTCCGCGCTCCCCGTTAAGGCCGCGCTCCCAGCGCGCAGCGGCCAGGGCAGCGCTCTTCTTGGGGCCGCAGGGCGAACCCCGAGGCCCTCCCTGCACCGGCCATGGCCGCCCCCGCGCCGCAGCCGCAGCCGCCTCCCCCCGAGGGCTTGCCCTGGCCCCTGAGCCTCCTGCCCGCGCCCCTGGGGCTGCTGCGCCTGGACCCCACGGGCGGCGCGCTGCTGCTGCTCGGCCTGACCGCGCTGCTCGGCTGGAGCTGGGTGCGGCGCTGCCGGCCGCCGGGCATCCCCCCCGGGCCCACGCCCTGGCCGGTGGTGGGCAACTTCGGCTTCGTGCTGATGCCGCTCTTCCTCCGCGGGAGGTCCTGGGTGAATTTAGGGAGGAGTATGCCAAACCTGGACCCATCCATGCCGGCCTCGCAGGTGATGCTGACCAACCTGGCCAAGGTCTACGGCAACATCTACAGCTTCTTCGTGGGCCCCTTCCTGGTGGTGGTCCTCAATGACTTCCACAGCGTGCGCGAGGCGCTGGTGCAGCAGGCCGAGGCCTTCAGCGACCGCCCGCGCATGCCGCTGGTCTCCCGAGTGACCAAGGAGAAGGGTGAGCGGGGCCCGGGGGCCTCGGGGGGTCCAGGGGCTGGGGAACCCGCGAGGCTGCGGACCTGCGCCGCCTGCAGCCGCACGCACCCCGCCGCCGCGGCACTCCTGCGTCCCAGTCGAGAAAGGGGAGGTGGTTAGCGGCGGTGCTTTCCTTTTCCATGGCCTTTCAGATGCCATTCCACTGCAGCTGATGGATTTACTCGTTCATATTTCAAGATGAGGAGGAAGGGTGATGGGAGGGGAAGGGGTGACAGCAAAGTGGGAAGCCTGGCTGCATCTCCGCAGGGGTGTTCTCTCCTTCCCAGAACCAAGCCCTGTCCCAGGCCCTGTCCCAGGAGGATCCCCTTAGGCCCTGTCCCAGGAGGAAACTTGGATCCTTTTCACCTTCTGAGCTTTGCATGCAAGAGTTTAAGATATGTTATTTTCCCATAAAATAGAAAGTCCAGAAAAACACTTTAGGAGCCTTCACTGGCAAACTTAATGCACTGAGTTTGTGGCCGCCGTGATTCCTGCCTGCTGGAGTCTTAACTTGGGCAGTTTTTCTGGGTTAGGAAACGAAACACATTGCTTCAATAAAACATAACATTTACTTTTCTCTGACTCCACCCATCCACCTACTTATTTATTGCCCTTCGTCAGCCTTCCCCTCCTTTGTCCTATTGGTTAACATAGGTCCCAGACGTTTTGTTTTGTTTTTCTGAGTCACTCCTTTGCAGATATTAAATGTCTGCCTCAGGGAGGCTTTTTTTTTTTTTTTTTTTTTTGCCCCCCTTCACTGCTTCCCCCAAAATTAAGCTCCGTTATTAGAACAATTTCATTGTTCAAATATTTTTCCTTCACTGCACTTACCAAAACTGAGGCTACATAATTTTGTACCCTGGGGCCAGGATGTGGGCCTTCACCAGTTGACTGACATCCAGGAGTTCAGGGTAATTCCTGTGTGTCTGGCACGGAGAAAACCTCAATAAGTATTTATTAAGTAAGTGAACCGCTACTTACTGTCTCTGGAATGTGGCATAAAGAGACTCAGGCTTTTTAGAATCTGAGTAAGCCAGAGTTTTGCATCAGGATTCTAAATGAATAGTAGTAATCCTATATAATCCTATGTACTAAAAGGCTAATATGCAAATTGACTGAACAGCAGAACAACCCTTCACTATGATGTGCACTGACCACCAGGGGGAAGACAACACAGGAGCTGCCTCCATCCCTCTCCCCGGCCCAACCCCCCACAGGGCTCCCAGACTGTGAGAGGGTGCAGACCATGCTGAGGGACCTCCCCTCCCCTGCCAAGTGCAAGAATTTCATGTACTGGGAATCTGGTGATGATCATAAAATTCTAAACATCTCACTGAAAAACTGAAGTCACAGTTCATACCTCACCCTCTCCATGCCTTACACAGGCTACTGCTTCTACCTGGAATTCTCTCCCAATCTCATGGCTGCCTGCTTTTCATTTTTTTTTAGATTGTGATGAAATACACATAAAATTTGCCAACTCAATAATTTTAAATCTTACAGTTCACTGACATTAGGTTATTTACATTGTTGTAAAAACCGTTATCTCCAAAACTCCCTTTGGCTTGCCAAACTGAAGGTTTGTGAGCATTAAACAAATATTAACCCCAGTTCTCTTTTTCCAGTCCCTGGCAACCTCCTTTCTATTTTTCTTTTTTTTTTTTTTTCCTCTTCTATGAATTTAGTAATCATACAGTATTTGTCTTTCAGTGATTGACATATTTCACTTAGCATAATGCCTTAAGGTTCATCCATGGTGTAGCATGTGTGAGAACAGCCTTCCTTTTTGAGACTAATATTCCATTGTATGTATGGATTACATTTTGTTTATCCATTCATCCCCTGAGTTGCGTGCTTCCTCCTTTTGGCTCCTGTGGAAAAAATGCTGCTATGAACATGGTACAAATATCTGTTAAGGAAAAACCCCAACAAAACTGGTAAAAGATGTTGGCCAAGGTTAATTTTTCTATCTATCTACTACAGTTCCAATAAATCAAAGCATAAAAGCCCAATAACCCAATATGAATAGTTAAAAAGATGATAAATCTTTATACAAAATTAAAAGATGATGATTTAATCTTGATTAGTGCAAATAAAACTCATAGTTGAGATTTCATTTTCTAGCAGTTATTAAAGGAATGGGGAAACAGGCACTTCTATGTCCAGAATAATATAATCTTGATAGAGGGCAATCTAGTTTTTATTTTTTTTCCTCCAGAGAAACAGATGAATTCACTACACACACACACACACACACACACACACACACACACTGCGTGGTCAAATTTTTATGATCTTTGAACACATAATAATCTGGCTACCATTACTGTATAACCTATATAATAAAAGGCTAATAGGCAAATTGTCCCCTGGACCAGGAGTTCGACAGCAGACAGTCTGGCCAACTGCCCATGTCCCCTTCCCCTGGCCCCCACCCATGAACCCCCCCACCCATGCAACGGGCCTCTAAAATACACCCCTGTCCCCCCCCCCCCCCCACACACACACACACTGGTTTCAGAGATCATAATAATCTGGCCACTCAGTGTGTGTGTGTGTATACACACACCCATATATATACATATATACACACACACACACACACACACACACACAAACACACACAGATTTATATAATCAGCTTACATGCTTGTGGAAGCTGCTGTTGATATAAGAAGGTTCAAGCCTGTAGAAAATTATTATAAAAGTTTATTAGAGTTTATTTGAGCCAACTGCTGACTTCCAGGAAGCAAGATTTTGAAATACTCTCAAGAGAGCAATCTAGTGTTTAATTTTAATTTTTTCCTTCAGAGAAACAAATTTATTATATATATATATATATATATATATATATATATATTACACACACACATATATACACAGAGAGAGATTTATTTCTTGTAATCTGCTTACATGCTTGGTGTTAAATGTAAGGTTCAAACCTGTAGAAATTTGAAAGTTTATTGGAGTTTATTTGCGATAACTAATGACATTCCAGGAAGTGGTATTTCAAAATGCTCTTAAGAGGGCAATCTAATTTTATTTTTTTTAAATTTATTTTTATTGATTTCAGGGAGGAAGGGAGATGGAGAAGGTATAAACATCAATGATGAGAGAGAATCATTGATCCACTTCCTCCTGCACGCCCCCTACTGGGGACTAAACTGAGACCTCCTGGTTTTAAACTTAAAAATGTACATACTCTAAGCAATTTCAATGCAATCAAAATAATATTTTGTGACATGAAAAATAAAATTCCAATTTTAATGTTTACTGGAATACAATCATGATCATTTACCAACCATTTGTCTGTGACTGCTTTTGCATTATAATTGCAGAGTATTTCTCTCAGAGATTATATAGCTCAGAAACCTAAAATATCATTTAGTCTTCTTCAGGAATTTTGTCTGACCCCTGCACTTTTATGTATAAGAAAAATTTTATGTGTAATAAATATTTCTGTAATGACAGAAATATTTTCTATGCTGCTCACTAGCTAAAGGTAGATAGTAAGATTGAGAAAGTGAGTGCATCTTATGGCTATTAGCAGACAGTGTAGCTCTAGAAAACAAGAGGCGAATTTTAAACTAAACATATACTTTCACATGTATGGAACAATATATCCATGAATTTTTTTGTATCCTGCCTTTGTCACTCTTGAGCTTCGTGAACTTAGACAAGTAGAAAATAGGCAAATACCAACATTTCATTGAAAGACATTGAATTTTGTACCATCCATGTAATGGCCTTATTGGAAGATATCCAAGAAAATAAGTAAAGTAAGAACAATGGATAATCTTTTTTTTTTTTTTTTTTTTTTAATAACTTAGTGTACCACTATGTAGCCAATGGCCTTAAAACTTAGTTCAAACAAGTGCTCACCGCTGTGGTTGGTTGGGCTCAGCTTGTGCTTTGGTGCCACGTGGCTTGGACGGGGCCACAGCCACCTGGGGCTTTCCTCTGCCTGGCGGTTGGCGCTGTGTCACCGGGGCGCTCTGCTGGGGCTGTTGTGAAGCACGTTGGCTCTTTTCATGTGGTCTTTTCATACGGGCTGGGTTCTCACAGCATGGCAGCTGGGTCTCAGGTGATTGGAAGTAGATATTAAACGTCACTTCTGCAGTCTATAGGTTAAAAGCTTTTCCCGATGCAGGTAGAGGGGAGAGAGAGTCCACTGTCCATGAGAAGAGTGGACAGGAGATAAGAATTTGTGGCCATCTTTAACTCACAAGCACACACACACACAAAATCCTTATTGTACACAATAAATGGTTGATAGTGTTTGCCTTTGTATAAGGGAATAAGAGTTTGGGGGAAACTTCCCTCTTTGCTTGTGTCCTTTGAATTTTACTGTATGCATTATCTATTGAAAAACTCCCTTTTAAAGCCTTCTTTCACCGATGTCATTGCAAAAACCACCATTGTTTAACAGTTTTTCATTTTTAAATAGCTTAAAGTATAGAAATGAGCTGGTGCAGGATGTCAAACCTGTTTAAATAAATCAATAAATAACCAGATGGTGGACTGCCTAGGATTCTGAGACCACAGTAAAATGCTCAAAATCTCTGGGTTTGGATTTAGAACTGGGTTCAGATCCTGCCTTTGTCACTCTTTAGCTGCGTGAACTTGGGCAAGCTTCTTAAATTTTTATGTAAACCAGGAATAATGGTATCTCACCCTCAACATTACAATTATAATTGTATTATCAGCCACTTCCTGATTGTGTAGTGTCAAAATATATGCTCTCAATCAATATGTCTCCTCTGCTCAAAACTGCAAAAGGTCTTTATTATCAGCTCAAATCCACACTATCCTGGTGATTAGTCTTATAGCTGTGCCAAACTAGTCACAGGTCTTCCGGAGTCGCAGAAGACATGTTGTTTCCCAGCCTCACTCTGTACCGTCCCTGGGGCACACCACACCCATTCCCAAGTAATCAAATGTGAATAGAGTACTTGGGGCTTCTCCATGCACAGCCAGGCATCC